CTGAGCAAAGAAGCCAGATATGAAAGAATTCATCCTACTTAATTCCATAAGCATTTAAAAATAAGTGAAGAATATATTTTACATGTTTTTGGTTTGATAAAGTTCAAAACCAGCAAAAGTGATGCCTGAGGAATAAAGATAAGCCAGGAAGTATTTACTCTAAAGCTGGGAGAATGGCGAGCCCTGGGGAGTTCCTCCTGGAGAGAAGGCAATAGTGGCAACATGCAGGTTTGGGGCTGTGGAGGGATGGTGATGCCCCATTTCCTGACCTGGGTGACTGTCAACTTCTTAGGAAGTTGTGTACTTGGTATCCTGTGCTTTCCCCAAACCTTGTGCCACCCTTGCTCCTGAAACCCTGGCCTTCCCTGGGTTTCCCTCTGTGATGGTCTTCTTGCCTATACTTTTGCTTATCTCTGTGCTGGTGGTCTCCTAAAGAAGCTCAGATGAATGTAGGATATGAATTTTTCTACTTTAGGTACACCTTTATCCAGACTGTGGAGTCATCTAAATTTCAACCAACAGGCCTCAGATGGAATGCCTTCTCTTCCTTGTTCTAATCTTATTCCTACATTTCCAGTCTAAACAAAGGGAATCTCTTCCTGCTGACATCCCAACCTAGAATCATTGACTCCTCATTCTTTCATCTGCCCCAGTAGCTAAGGCCATGCCATGCGCCAAGTCCTGGTTTTCACAATGTACATGTCTGTGTTACATGTACTCTTTTGTACGGTAGCTCACCTCAGTCCCTCCATAGTTCTGACCTAGTTACCATTGTCATCCTACCTTATGGAGGAGAATATGAAGGTGCAGACCTGAGCAGCACCTGTGCCTGCACTCTAACCCTTTGGAACAGTCCCGGGTCAGTATTTTTTATTTATTTATTTATATATTAATTGTTACCTTGTAGGTATACAATACGTTTACATTTATCATTGGGTGCTTGCACCTGTACATGATGTATCTTGGTTCTTATATTTTTACCCATTACCTGTGCGCCCTTCACCCCCTCCACCCTTCCCTATTTCCATAGACTTTGTTTCCATTTTTTTTTCTTTCTCATAATTTGTCCTTTCCCTTCTTCCCTTTCCCCTTCCCCTCCCACCATCCCTACATCTTTGGACCTCTTCCTATTTCAAATTATCAATTATTCATTTTAATCATTTTCATCCTTATGTACATTTTCAGTTTCTCACACTAGAGAAACTATTTGGTATTTACATGTGTGTCCTATTTATTTCACTTAAGAGTATGGCCTCAATATGCATCCATTTAGCTATAAATGTCTCTAGTTTCTCATTCTCCATTTTATAAAAACCCCACATCTTCTTTATACAGTTTCCAGTTGATGGGCACTTGGGCTGCTTCCAAGCTTTAGCTATTATGAACTGTGCTGCTATGAACATAGGTGCACATATATCACTGTGGTATGATTCTTTTAATTCTTTGGGGAAGATACCAAGTAGGGGAATAGCTGGGTCAAATGGGAACTGTAGTACCAGTTCTTTGAGGTATCTCCATACTGATTTCCACAGTGCTTGCACCAGTCTGCACTCCCACCAGCAATGGAGAAGGGTTCCTTTCTCCCCACACCCCTGCCAGCATTTGTTATTTGTTGATTTCTTGATAGCAGCCATTCTTTCTGGGGTGAGGTGGAATCTCAGTGTTGTTTTCATCTGCATCTCTTGAATGACCAGTGATGTTGAATATTTTTTCATATATTTATTTGCTGCTTTTACTTCTTTGTCTGAGAAATATCTGTTCACACCAGCACTGTGTCCCCACCTCTGGAATCATGAGGATGGTCCTACTGACCTTATAACTCGTGTTGTATCCGCATACAATCTCACTCCATTTCATCTACCTTCAGCAGGACTACCTGGACATCATAAAAATGGTAATTTTGTCTCATCAATTTCCAACCATTCCCTCTCAAATGTCTTACCACACCTGGAGGCATTGGCTTGCCTCATTTCCCTGAATCCCAGTCCACATCCATCCCGGACACATGCTTGTCTTTTTTAGGTCCTACCCTGTGCACAGTTAGCCCTGTTTGTGTGTGAGCCTCTGTTCACCTCCTCTGTGATGCTCTCATAGGCTCCTGTTGGCCCAGTTCCAATTATGTGTTTATTTATTATGTACTTGGTGCAGACTTACAGAATTTTTTTTTAACATTTCATGATGTTGTAATTGCTCCTTTTGCCCACTCTGTTTCTTTTGTTTTGTTTTGTTTTTTGAGACAAGGTCTTGCTTTGTAGTTCAGTCTGGCCTTGAACTCACTATGTACCACAGCCTGGCCTCGAACTCACTATGATCTTCCAGTCTCAGTCTCCTGAGTGCTGGGATTATAGTCATGCACCATCATACCTGGCCTGCTATGCTTCTTGAGGACAAAAATAGTGTATCACTCTCTCTTGGTGTGCTCTCTTAGTGGTGGGCAAGTTTAGAGGACAGGCAATGACTCTGCTTGAAACAGCACTGCAGAAATTCTTGTTGAGAGGAGCTTAGGAAGGAGGACCCTGGTCACTGGCTACTGGGCATGGGCTGCTGCTGTGATTCCCTGCTAGTGTGAGGCATCTGCAGTCCAGGATGCTCTGTTTTAATACAAGAGAATGAGGGACAGAAAACAGGGCCACTGATATGCCTCCCCTTACTGTCCAGAAACAGCCAGTTGTGGTGATATGGACTCTTGTCCATGGCAACACTTTTCCACTGCCATACTCACTGTAACAATTCTGCTCCACCCGACATCCACGCAGGCCCCAAGCTCAACTCCTTTCCTCCCTAACTTGCTACTTATGAAGGGGATCAGGCCACACCACCTTCGTAATATACCCCTCCTATCAAAATACAGTAAAACCTTGGTTTGTGAGCATAATTTGTTCTGGAAACATGCTTGTAATACAAAATACTTGTACATCAAAGTGAATTTCCCCCTAAGAAATAATTGAAACTCAGATAATTTGTTCCACATCCTAAAATACTCATATAAAATGATTAAATACTGTAGTATAATACACAGTAATAAAGAAAATACAAAATATAAAGAAAAATAAATTAACCTGTAGTTACCTTTGAAAACCGTCGTGGTTGGTTTGAGGGAGACAAGAGAGAGGAGGGCTACTGTGTAGGACGACTTTCACTGTCACTAAAGGAATCACTGCTATCCACTGGGTCAATGGAATCCTTTTCTTTTTGTGCAACTTTAGTAAGGAACTTATCCAATGACACTTGCTTTTGCCTCCTTTTGAGGATTTCTTGGAAATGTGACATTGCACTGTTGCTAAACAGATTCACTGCTTACACTCTACAGCCTTATTTGGGTAGAGCTTTTCTACAGAATTTTACATTGTTTCTCACATTTTACACATTTTTCTAACTCATTTGAAGTGAATTCCTCCAGCTTTTTCTCCTGCTCCTCTGCAGATAAGATCTCCTCCATAAACTCTTGTTGTTGGGAGATGATCACTCACAATCCCAGAGAAAGAGAGAGAGAGAGAGAGAGAGAGAGAGAGAGAGAGAGAGAGAGAGAGAGAGAGAGAGAGAGAGAGGCCATTGGCTCATGTGACATTCGGCGTCATGTATTACTCATATTGCAAGTATCAAGTTATATTTATTAGCAATGTTTGCTCATCTTGAGGAACATTCACAGAGCAAGTTACTTGCAATCCAAGGTTTTTCTGTCCTCAGGACTGAAGGCAATTGAGCTAAATCAGATACAGAGGGCACTCTGCCCTTTCCCATCTTCCTAAAAGCAGGCACACTCTGTCCCAAACAGAGAGGAGAACAGCCCCTACTCCAGCAAGGCAGGGATATGAAGCCGAGCCAAGTCTGCATAACCACCTTAATATAAGTTACCTGTTCCACCCACTGGCTCCCTCCTTACACTTCCTGGTCACCATCTCACAATGTCATCAGCCCTAAAAGTGTCCAAGGCTCTTTTCCTTCATCTCATCACTTCTCACCATGTGTTTCCCTTGGTTAGAACAGTATATAAATTCTTTGCATTTTTCACTTTTTTGTGAGGCCCCCATACATGTGAAATTTAAAATATTTCTAACACTTGTATATTTTTCTCCTGTTGACTTGTCCTTTATCGCTGATTCACAAGTCTCAGGAACTGGAAGGGTGAAGGAAGGTTTCTCTTCCTCATCCCAAGCTATAAGAAGGGAATCATCCATGACTGTCACTCTGGGGCTCAGGAAGGGCACAGTGACTTATGGGTGGAAAAGTCAGGGCTCGAGTCAGACATCTTTCAACTGTCCCTTTCTCTGTTAGCATCTAAAAGCTCTGTTTTACTCAGCTATGACCATGAGGCCCAAGAGGTCCACTCATGTGGACCTTATCTCTTTTTCAAAGTTCTCAAGTTGAGAGCTGGGTCAGAATGGGAAGCACAACTAGAACATTTCTGAAAATCTCCATTCTGCACCCAGTCACAGTAGCCCAGCTTTTTTTGGTGCTGAGGAACCTGCAGCAAATGTTCTTTCTGACACGTTCCTTCTGAGACTGTGCACCCAGCCCTGGCCAGAGCAGCATTAATCACTCAGTGAGTGTTGGCTGATGACAGACTGGTTTGTGTAACCCAGCCACTCTGGGGCAGGCACCTGGGCCACCAGCGGATGGAAGCTGTGGGACCTGGTTTAAAGAAAGGAATCCAGAGACCTAACTCCATGCAGGGCCTGAATTCCCCTGCTCTTTCTCTTTCACCAGTTCTTTGGGAAGGTGCCTGTAGGTAAATACAGCAACAGTGCAGTGCTGTGAGCCTCAGGGAAAGCAAGGGAGGAGAAGCCAGTTTTGTTTCCGAGTGACAGAGCAAATTAGGATCAAAAGAGACTTTTCAGGTTTGTCAACCCAGAAGAGACCAAGGAAAAAAAATAATTGGCTTAAAGTGTGCTGTTAAAATTCTTGATAATCCCCCTGCTTTAGCTAAGAAATTGCCAAGCAGCAAAGAAAGAGCATTGTTTCCATTTACTTGTTCTCAAACAGAGAAGAGAGCTGCTCACCTGGAAGCTAGCATTGCTGTAGCCCTCACCTCTGACAGCTGCCGTGTGTGTCAGCTCCATGTTGTGTTCTGCCTTCTGGGCTCCGAATGCCTTTCTGATGTCTGAGCAGATGTCCTCTGTAGCTGGGTGAAAAGAAAAACAGCCTCTGCTGGTGTCACAAGGCCACCTGCTGCTGGGGTGACCTGGGCATTGCTTCAGTTTGGAAACTTCTGAATGACTGGGGCTGGAACCGGTTGGGGTGGGGCTGGAGGGGCAGAGGGGTGGGATAGAGGCCTCTAGGTAGGCCCGCCCTCCTCACTCACCTTTCCAAACATTCCTGGGGTTGGCTTTTCCTTTGCTCCTGGAGAGAAAACTTTGGTAGTACACAATAGAAAATGACACTTTCTCTATGGTCTTTGATGAAATAGTCTATTTCTATGTATGGTGTTGGGGACCAGGATGGTGGTGGAGGCAGGGACCACAAAGGTCCGTTCCCACCAAGAGATTTCTTCTCTGGTGCCGAGCATGTTAGGTACAGTATATACAACTCTGCATTCCTTTTGGAGAAACTGAGGCTCAGGCAAGTTCACAACTTGTGCAGAGTCATGTAGGTAATAAACGGACAAAGAGAAGTAAGGTTCAGGTCTGGTCATTTGAAAGCCTTTCACTGTATCTGTACTTCAGACTGGGTGGCTTTCAAAGGTCCAAATTAGGAAAAGTACAGAGAAGTGGAGGATAAATGAAGGATGACCATCTGCTCACTTAGTGAAAAGATTCTTTGTTTTGAGTTAGCTATAGAATTCTTTCAAAATAGGGATTCACCCCTCTGATGTTTAAAATGAACTACTATATATCTAGTAATTGTTATAATTGTGTGGCTTCTGTGAAAATGTGGAAAATGCTCATGATGAGTAAAAAACTGGAGTGATAAAATTTACTAGTGTAAAACAATGGACAAAATAATGGAAGAAAATATCAGCTCTTACCTGTGTTTTTTCTGGGTTGTGGCTTTTGTGGGTGGTTGTTACTTTCTCCTTAATATTTTGTGGAATTTTATATAAAGCATATGACTTCTACTATTATGATATAGACTGTATATCAAGGTGAAGGGCACATAGGAACCTAGTATAGGTTCATAGCCTGGCTCTCCCTCTTAATTATAGGAAATTACAGCTTCGAAGCCAAATGTAGCCCACTACCTCTTTTTAACATGACCCAAGAGGTAAGAATAAGAATGGGTTTTAGATTTCTAGATAATTGAAAAGTAATCAAAAGGAAAAATATTATGTCAAGTGAAAATTATAGGAAATTCAAATTTCAGTGCCTAGAAATAAAGTTCAGTGGGAACAGAAGCACACCTATGCACTCATGCACTGTCTGTGGTAGCTCCTTCCCCAAGGGCAGAGGGACAGAGACGGTAGAGCTCACAATGAAGACATTGTGTTGATCCGGCCCTTTCCAGGATGGTGTGCTGCCCCGGTCACTGGTCGGTGAGTCTGGGCAAGTCGCTGTGCTCCCTGCTCCTGGTCCACCACGCAGTGGTCTGACAGTGCCCGCTCTGAAGGATTGCTGGGTTGATAATTTGAGTCACACTCGGACAGTGCCCAGCACAGTCCGACACTGTCCAGACTTTCCTTGTGCTTGAGCACTTCAGTGGTTCTTCTTGGTGAATAAGACTTGGGGAGATTTTTTAGTTCCCATGCAGTCCTATGACTGCGGTGTGACAGGATTAGTAGTAACTATGTTAGCAAAGGCAAAAAAAAAAAAAAAAAAAAGGCTAACTAGAAGTGATCAAGACAGGGACGAATAAATGGAAAGCAAATGTGTGAAACTGACCCTGAGATGGTTGGAAGAAATAAATTGCTGCCACCTGTTATAACCTCTGTGAACTCAAGACTCAACCTAGGTTAAGGCTGTAGATAACCCTTACTTTTTGGCAGAAAAGAACAATCTTCATTCTGCCATTTGTGGTTATAATTGCAAAAACTTGACTCGAATTCTTGACAGTTCCGCAGATACCTCTAAATGTACAACTCCATGTGTTTTATAACACTTGGTGATAGAACGAAGGTTGAGCCCAGGTGGCGGAACATGTCTGTAATCCCAGCACTCTGGAGGATCACTGCGAGTTTGAGGCCAGCCTGGGCTACACGGTGAATTCAAAACTGGGCTGAACTACACAGTGAGACCCTGTCTCAAAAAGAAAAAATTCAAAATTTTGAAAAGAATTCAGGGATCTTTGAGTGTACCATGCAGTACTGAGAAAAAGCCAGAGCAACTCCCCAGCCCTTCTCTGACTACTGCAGCCATAAGCAAATGGAAACCCAAGGAGAGTAAATTGCACATACAATCACGAACCTAAAACACCAAGATGATGGTCATATCAAGAGAGAGTCCAAGTTAAACTGCTGTGTATCTGAAACCTGGGTGAAAACTCAGACTTTCTTGTAGCACCACAATTAATTTGATTTATGGGGCTATCACTTAAAAGGGAAGAACCAGGTGGCAAGCTGTGGCTCATTTTCCTAATTTGGAAATAGACACTGTGATTGGAAAATAAAGTAAAACGCCCTTTCCACTTCACATGCCCGCATCTGAAATCGTTCTCCAGTTGTGCAGGCATTACTCAGAAGGATGAGCTTGTGCCAAGTTCTGCACAGCTGTCTCTTCACACCTCTGAACCATTTTCTTTGTGCGTTCCTCAAACCCAGCCTTAAACTTGGAAACCATTGTGTAGCAACCAAGTAACTGGGCTTTTGGTAAGATAATTCCTGTACACTCTTCCATTCTCCAAGTGTTGGATTATAAGGACTAAAATAGAATCCATCCATCCTGTGTGCACAGCTTGTTACTTATATTTGGGTTTTTTGAGATAGGATCTCACTGTGTAGTTCAGGCTGGCTTTGAACTTACTATGTAGTCCAGGCTGGCCTTGAGCTCATGGTGATCCTCCTGCCTCAGCCTCCTGAGTGCTGGGATACAGACGTGCACAACCACGCCTGGCTAAAATCTCAATTTACTGAAAAAAGAAAAAAAAAAGTATGTGGTAAAAGATTGCTTTTCTTGTTTTATGCCTGAAGTTCTATAGTGAGATCATCTTTGTGGCAATATTTCCAAAAGGAGTAAAATGAAATTTTCAAATTTGCATATAACATCGGTCCTATGTTGAGTGTGAGGTATCATCTTCCTTTCTGAAGACCATTTTGTGTATTACACATTACCATTCATCTGTACGGCTTGAAACAGTTTAATACATAAATCAAATCATATTAATACCAATAATATTGATATTAAAAAGAAGAATAAAAATGTAACCCTGTGTGGCTTACAAGTTGGTTTAATTTTTCAGATTACCCAGAAAAAAGAAAGCAATATGCAAATGTATCCTCTGGGGTTAGGGTGGCAGAGAACAAGCATAGCATGCATGAGGCCTCAGGTTCAATCTCCAGCACCAAATAAATAAATAATTTAAAAAGCCCCCAAAATGTGTATTCAAAACTGGAGCTACTTTGGGATTTGATTTTTCAACAAATTTTCACTGCGGTCAGGTTTTACTTTCCAGCACTCCTGCTATCCTGGGAAAGGCCAGCTCCGGCATTACAGCAGACCCTGGATGTGGGACTCACCCCTGGCTTATGTCCACTGTCAGCGCACTTTAGTTAGAATTCGGAGAATGGTGGTCTTGGTTGCCACAGAGACCAATAGAGAGAACTAGCCTGTGGAGCAGCCATCATGTGCCCGAGGACACTTACAGTGTGTTCATTGCACCCTCTCTACTGCTATCCCAATGGAGTATTAATACTCCCATTCCAAGGAGACAGAGGGGCTTCCCAGACACCCAACGAGTTAGTGGCAATGTCATAATCTGATCCCAACCCTCTGAAATGTAGTTCCCTAAAAGCCACCTTCTGGAAAGAAGAAAGCCTAGGAGTTGGTATCCAAAAGTGCTCACTCTGCATACAGGGAAAGCCAGTTACAGCAAAGTAAAGGCAAAACGTTAATGAAATAGAAAAATAATGGGATTGGTGGGGAAGCAGAGTTTAATCCACCTGTACACTTTGAAATCCTGGGGAAAAACTCGAAACAACCAAGAAACAGAAACAAAAAACTTTCTTCTGCCTAGTTGAATGTTCTTAAGAAGGCCAAGTATTTGGCCACCAGCCAGATTCCCCTCTGCTTGAAGGCCAGCCCTATGAGTCTCTGCTCTCTCCTCTGTGCCTGGAACAAGTCAGCTGAAGGCTGAACACCTCTTCCACTGACCAAAGGGAAACAGGAAGAGAACTGGAACACTGGGGGTGGGAACGTGGACCCATGGTATGGCTCTGCTTGCCATGTTTTAAAACCTTGGGTTCTCCAGCACTGCACACCAAACAAAAAGCTTCGAAATCTCTACATTCCTGTATGGCCTGGGGATTATGTGTGAATTCCCAAATAAGTTGCTAGGGAGCCTACATTTGCACTGGCCAGCTTGCCCCAAGAACCAGGGCTGGGATTAAGGCAAAGCAAGCAGAGAATAGAGTGCAGGTTTGAGGGAGGGCTTGACCCTGGAGCAAGAGCAGGGGCAGGGGCAGAACCTGAATGTAAGAAGACCTGTGTAGACCTGGCCAGCTCACCCTACTTCTGCTCTGTTGGAGAGCAACCTATGGGTGTTTTTAGATGAGTGGAGCAGGCTTTACTTATACACTAACTAGCTGCAACATCAGTATAGTACTCACTAGTAATCTCTTTAAGCATCTATTGTTACCAGCAAAGCCATGTTAATAGTTGTACCTAACTTGAGAGCTTACTGTGAAGATTAAATGGAGTCCTACAGGGAGAGTGTTTAGCACTGCGTATTAAGTACTGAGGATTGAGCCACCTTTGCAGTACATCCCCAGCCCTTTTATGTTTTTATTTTTTATTTTGAGACAGGGTCTTGCTAGGTTGCCTAGGTGGAACTTGAACTTGTGATCCTCCTGACTCAGCCTCCCTAAGTTCTGGGATTACTGGTGTGTGCCACAGAGCCCAGCATGCATCTGCTTTTTTAGATTGGTCCTTTACAACTACCATCCTCCTGGAGCTTGGTCAGGGTCTAGTTAGGTAAGCACGCCAACCTTACACATGGTCAGACAAAGGTAACAAAGGCAGTGGAAGGCAAACATTGACTTGGCCTCTTGTTCATTGGCTTCATGGCCAATGAAGCTTTTGTAGATGGACAAAGATCTTCT